AAAAAAAAAAAAAAAAGTATTTTCACATACTTTATCTCATTTAATCTTCAAGACACCCCTACCAGGCCTGTATCATCATCTCTATTTTATAGATGTAAAATCAGGTATAATTTATCACCATGGTTGAAGAGAAATAGAAGGTTGATGCTTATGCCATTGTGCTTTTTACTATAATAAGCACCTCTGCTATAAATCTATTAGTTTGTTTGTTCAAAGAATAATTATTCTTGTCAGTTTTTACAGTACTTTGCTGTAACCTCAACTTTGCTTAGATGCCTTTGAGTCCCATATATAACATCCCCTATCTTGTGACTTGTAGAATCTATTTTCTGGCTCTCTGACTATTTCAGGAATAAAATCTAAGTTTTTCAGTGTGATTGATTGTCAGACAGGAAGAAAAATAGCAGAGATTTTAGTTAAGTCTCAAAGTGGAAAGGAAAGAAAGAGAGGTCTTGTGATCACTCCCTGTGACAACTCCATTTCTTAAGAAACCATATTATTGGTAAGTACCTGGAGTTTCTCCAATAATACAAAGATTATATAGCCAAGGTTTTGTTTTGTTTTTTGAGTGCTGTGAATCAAACACATGCCAGGCAGGTGCTCTACCACTGAGCTATAGCCTAGCCCCAGCCAACTCATACAGTGAGAGGATGATGTTGCATGACTCTGAGAAGGGTAGAAGTAAGGCTGAAAAGAGGAAATTGCACTAGGTTTGGCATTGCAAAGGAGAATGTCAATTTAACATTGTCTTCAAACAGCGTGAAGTGAAACTGAATGTGTAGAAACAAGAGGCTCCCCTTATGCATTGACCTTAGACATGGAAAATGCCTAATTAAGTGGTTACTATGGAGGGCTCTGGTACTAGATCATCAAGCTTCAATCCTAAGCTTCACCTTTGACCTGTGTGACTTGAGAGAAATTGTTTAAATTCTCAGTGTCTCACTTTTTGGCATTTAAAAAGGGACTAAAAATAGTGCCCAAATCCAAGCCTGGCTATAAGGATTGTATGAGATAATGTATGTAAAGTCCTTAGCACTGAATAGGTCTTGGGCTGCCATGACTGCTGAATAAATTCTAGAAGGTATTATTCTTATTCTTATTGTTATTACTGATATGATGACTATCATCATTTGACTTTGCATGTTGTGTAGGATTTATCTGGTAGTATCTGGCAAGAAAAAACGTGCTCAGTGCATGCTTATTAAATTATTCCTCTGCCAGTGTCATGATGATTAGGCTGCATGGTGTGGTTGATGGTTTGGGGGGGTGACAGTAGGTTGAGAAATGTTGGATGGGAGGAGGGCTTGGTGAAATAGACTCCCGAGGACAAGAAACTTTATTTTCTAGTTAGTGGGAAGAGTTCAAGAGACCTGGTGTTCAGTCCTAGTTCTGCCATCAATAAATTGTGTGAGCTCCAACAACTTACCTTGTTATTTCATCATTTTAAAAAATAAGGAGATAAGACCAGATAAGTGGTTGTTAACTGTGGATTGGGTTGTGGAATATAACAGAAACTCCTTATGTCTGGTATATCTGCATTTCCTTCCCTAACCTTTCCTTTGTGTCCAGGTTTTTGCTCCCTTTGTGAAGAAATCAAGTCTTCGTGGTAATCATAAAATATATAAAGTCCCACATTGCACTAATGACAATCCTATAACACAGAAGCCAATGGAAGAATTGTCTTTTTATTCATTTGGGAAAATCTAGGTTGAGCCCTTGGTGTAATTTGGGGACTCCTTTTATGGATTTGTCCAATATATGACTCTAGAAGCCAAGACTCCTATTTCTTAGGCGTAAATGTGTTGGGCTAATTCAAGAAATGCTATTTGACAGTCAGAGTCAGATTTTAGTAGTCTATAAATAAAAGCAAATTATTTTTCTCAATTTTCTACTTAGTGCTTTTGTTGTACCTTTTGAAATTTTAAAGGACATGCTGGTAGAAGAGAGAGAATTTTGTTAGGATTGTTCTGATAGCATTTTAAGGGACACTTGATTGTCTTAGTCCAGGTAGGTAATGTGGAAGGATTTTCCTGTCAGACTTAACATCTTGGGTCCAACAGAAATCAGGTGTGCATCTAAATCTATGATAGTAGCTCTGTGGAAGATATGTAATCTGGTAACCAAATCTTCCTAGTACTTACCAAGGAATTAATGGGCAGCCACAGGCTGATGAGAAGGAATTGGGGAGAGAGAGATTTGTTGGGCCTCAGTAAGAGAAATGGAATCTTCTTATCATTTCATGAGATATAGAATGAATAGCATCCTGTTGACTCAGCTTGCTTAGGTAACTGAAGGAAGACAAACATTGAGAGTATAGCTTTCATAACCCTTGGTCAAGCACTTGGGACTGTCATCACAGTAGGGCAGAAGTGCAAATGAGTGGATATCGTAAGATCTTTGCTCTACACCCAACTGTTACTAACTTTCATAATCTTGGGCAAGTGTGACTTTTGTTTCCCATTATATAAAAGGGAATCTAACTAGGATTGCCTCAAATATACCTGCTAGCTCCAATCGTCTGGTGCCAAGATTCTATTATATAATAATTGTTGCTTATTGACATTACGATATAACAGATGTGCTAGGTTGGGTGAAAAGAATAAGGTGAGGAGATGGGATCTATCTTACTGAATTAATGTACACAATAGAAGAGAAAGGTAGTCCTGAATGTTGGGATAACAGAACGTTAACCCTTAACTTTCTTTTCTTTCTTTTTTTTTTTTTTTTGTGGTACCAGGGATGGAACTCATGACCTTGCACTTTAGAGGCAGGCAAAGTGCCACTGAGCTAAATATCTGGCCTGACCCTTAATTTTCTATGCAATTGTTGGTCCCAGGAATAGACTCAAAAATAATGCTGGGCTTACATCTATAATCCCAGCACTAGGGAGGCTGAGACAGGAGGATCACCACAAATTCAAGGCCATCTTAGGCTACATAGTGAGTTCAATGCCAGTCTGGAATCCATAGTGAGACATTGTCTCAAAAAGGCACTCCAATCTGGAAAAAAAAGCAGTGTGGAACCAGGAGTGGTAATTTTCCTTTAGAAGTTGAATACTTTTGTTTAAGTAGGTATTTATATGCATGAATGAATTCTTTAAGTGTTGATTATAAAAGGAATGTTCTTCCACAGTAAAAGGATGATGACCTTGTGTTCTGTGGTAGGAAAATCCTGTTGGATTTTAAAAAGGTGATAAGCAGGGCATGATGGCACACACCTGCAATCCCAGCACTCAGGAGGCTGAGGCAGGAGGATTACTGTGAGTTCAAGGCCAGTTTTGGCTACACAGTGAGTTCAAGGCCAGCCTGAACTGTATAGTGAGACCTTGAATCAAAAAAACAAAAAACAAAAAATAAATAAAAAGAGGGGGTAAGTTCAGACTTGCCCTTTCAAAAGCCATTCTTGCTGTGGGGAGTGTGAACAGTCGGTTGGAGGCAGAAAAGACTGGATCAGGAGATCCTGAATGATGACATCTTCAACTGAAGAAGTGGTAGTGAGAAAGAAGAGATTGGATGTGAGAGGGAGGAGTTGCGGAAGTCTCCCAGGTCAGTAAAACTGGGAGAGTGATGATGTTATTCACTGACACAGGAAGGAAACTTAAAAGTAGGACAGCTGTGAGAGTAGAAGATGATGATTCAGTAATTATGAAGAAATAGAGCAAAGTTCTGAATCATCGAGACTTACGTGTAGGTTCTAATCTTTCTCAGTAGCCAGATAACTTTCAAATACTTTCTGATTTTTTCTCAGAAGAGAGTGTGTCACTATATTTGTTGCTAGGAGAGATGATTGCTATGGATACCAGTGATGTCATAATCTCCCCTCCCCAACACACCAATGATAACACTTGTGGGTCTGACTTCTTTAGAAAGGTGGGTGTATGAAGTCACTATATCCTGTTCACAGCATGTAGAAAAGTTTGTGTGTGGTCAGAGGCTACAGGTTTTTTGTATTACTTTGTTTTTACTCTTATTAGTAAGATGATACCAGATGCATCTCATTGCAATTATATTGGCTCCAAACTTGGTTATTTCTATTTCCACGGTTTGGAGAGGCATAATTTCCCTAATTTTTCACAGAAAGCACACAGAGAGCTCCAAAAAGCATTGTTAATCACATTTAGCCACTTGATTATGTGAAGTAAGATAAAGTAACAATGTTGATTATTGTTTTTTTTTTTTCTCTCAGAGAGGAGATTTCAAGACATTAAATCTTGGAAAAATGGCTTTCATTTGTTTGGATATCAGGTGTCTATATATTTTTCTTCTTTGCACAGCATTTGGCTATACTTTGCCTTCAAACATGGAAATAAAAGGTAAACCAACAAATTAAATGAATTTTAATGAGATAGTTTTAAAACTAGGGTTATTAACTGTCCTTTCAACCTATCTTACTATAGTGCATAACTAGTAATTATTAGAACTAGTTCACAAAACTCATGTACTAAAGATATGGCATTAATAAACAGTTTCATGTATACTGTAAAATTTTGTGGGATAAAAGCGAAATAAAAGAAAACAACAACAACAACAACAACAAAAACACTTTCCTAACTGCTTGCCTAATCTTTTCTAAAAACTCAATTAAATATTTAAAACCTTCTTAGCTAGTTCTCAATTAACTGAAATCTTTCTTTAATAATTATCCTTAATATTTATGACACTTAGATAAATAAGAAAAAATACAGAAATTTAAAGTAAAATGTAGAGCCAAATGTGGTGGCACATGCTTGTAATTCCAGCACTCTGGAAGGCAGAAGCAGGAGGATATTGAATTCGAGTTCATTCTGGACAAATGAATGACTTGATGAGATCTTGTCTCACAAAAAACAGAAAACAGTTCTGGGGTTGTAGTTTAAGAGCAAAGGCTCTGGGTTCACTCCCCAGTACTGGAAACAAAATGAAAATGTAAAAATAATCAAAATTATTACATCATGTCTAATGAATTTCTTCTATTGAAGAAAGTAGATAGAACAGCTGGGCATGGTGGCATATGTCTGCAATCCCAAAACTCTGGGAACCTGAGGCAAGAGGATTGTGAATTTGAGACTAGCCAGTGGAATTTAACAATTTAATGAGACCCTGTCTCAAAATACATACAAGCGGAGCTGGGGATTTAGCTCAGCGGTTTGGTGGCCTGCCTTGCAAGCACAAGAACCTGAGTTCAATCCCCGGTACCAAAAACAAAAGAAAACAAAAAAAACATAGAACAGGAGATGTAGCTCAGTGCAAAGGCACTGAGTTCAGTCCTCATACCAGAAAAAAAAGAAGGTAATTATAAAAATACATATTTAACAAAGATTTCTACCTTAAAGATATCAATAGATAACTTTATAGGTGCAGAGAGTAATTTGTGCCACAACTTCTTTCTGTGGATTCTTTTCCTCGCCTTAGTATTACGAAGTATTAAAAAAACTAGCATGGTAGAAATGAGAGGAAATCATCAGTAACAAGGCAAGATGAAAGTAGTACCACTGCACTCTAGATTTGTGTGTAGGAGAGTTTGGAAGTAATCTCTATATTTAGCAATCTTTGTCATAAAATTAAGGAAAAAATAAAAATATGTTATTGTTCTTATTTCAGTTAATCCTCCTCAGGACTTTGAGATAGTGGATCCTGGATATTTAGGTTATCTCTATTTGCAATGGCAACCTCCCTTGGCTATGGATAATTTTAAGGAATGCACAATAGAATATGAATTAAAATACCGAAACATTGATAGTGAAAGTTGGAAGGTACGTAAAGCATGTCATTGTATCAAAGTGATCATTAAGTGTTTTCTTTTGATTCTCAACTTCACCATCCACTCTAAATCTCAACTTAATAATTTAGATTAGTATATAACAAGCTGCCATGTCGACTTTTCTGTCCTGGGTATTCTGTAAAATATATTTTCACCTCATCCAGTATTAAGTATTAAGATTACTATTCGAAATGTGGGGAAGAATTTTGGCCCCACAGAATATGGACTTGAAGAGCATTTTATACATTTTGCCATCTTTTACAATTACTTATTACATTATTCCATTTTTTGTTGCTGTAACAAAATACCTCAGACTAGGTAATGTATAAAGAAAAAAGTCTGTTTAGCTCATATTTCTAGAGGCTGAAAGGCCAAGATTCTGTGACCCATTTGTTCAGCGTCTAGGAGAACCTCTTGACAGACAGAATCATAGCAAGAGTGAGTGAGAGGGAGAAGTCACATAAGGAGACAGGAAGCCAGAGAGTGGCTTTTATAATGAGTCACTCTCATCAGAGCATTTTTAATTGGTGTCACATGAGAACTACATCAATTCCTTCTGAGGGCAGTGCTTGCAATGACCTAATTGCCTCCCTCTAGGTCCCATCTCTTTAAGGTTCTACCTCCTGTCAACATTGCCATACTGAGGACTAGGCTTTGAACACATGAGCCCTTGGAGGACATACTCAATATTCAATTTAGATATGGGTTTGAAGACCAAGGGAATTGCGGTGGCAGCATGCAGGAGGTGTTGTTATCCCAGTTATTACAAGGATAAGCCGGAGGGCAGTACAGGTGTGGGTGTGGAGGAAGAGCTGGGCATTTGAGTGTAAAAGATCAGTGTTGGGAAAGGGGAATAAGGGAAAAGAAAAAAAATATGAGAACATGTAAAAATGGAATTAAAGTATTTGAAGGTGGGGAGGGAAGGGGGGGTGAAGGCAGGGTGGGGACAAGGGGAAAAATTGAGAACTAAGACCTGGCATGTAAAGGTACAAGATCCCAGTAATGAATGTAACTGTACTGTCTACCTAGAATGTACCAATAAATTCAATTTTAAAAAAAAAGATCAGTGTTGGACCCTAGATCAAGATTAAGAAGGAAAAGATATTGATACATTTTGCTGAAGTCAAGGTAAAAACAACAAAGGACTTTCTCTGGCCATTAATATAGAAAGCCAGTAAATTTGCTGTATCTTTTTGATTGGGGCAGTTCTTTCCCTCCATACAACACTGGAGAAAAAGAATGAATTCCATTTTTTAATGTATGTAAATATTTCTCCTGATCTGCCTTATTTTTAGAAAAATTTAATTGAACTGGCTGAGAACATGATGTATTTTGAGGATTATTTTAAAGCATGAAGAATGGTTGTTTTCAACTTGACTCTTCAAATTGTACACTTTGTACAATGGGAAGGTACTGATATGACTGCAATAATTATTAAGGCAGGACTTATCCAGAAGATGCTCATTGCAAAAATTTAGGATAAAACTTTTTCTTTGTATTCAGTTTGTCCTATTTTCTAAAATAAATTGTGTTTGATTTCTTGGAAAAAAATAGATATGGGTTATATATATGCTACTGAACTGTGAGCTTTTTCTCTGCAGGGTCAAATCTCATTTAGCTTTGTGTCTGTCCCACAGAACACACAGCATGGTTATTTGCAAATATTGTAGTAAGTTCTTCATGAAAGTTTATTGAATTATTAACTATTTACATACGTGGCAATTATGTTTATTCAAAGATTTCTGCTGTAGAAGGCATCCTGTTACCTCCATAATTCAGCTAGGTAGTTTCAAAGGACAATTACAAATCAAACATTTTTTGATTTTAGTACATGTGCTGCCGAAGCGAGCACCAAACATTAATTAACTATTTACATACTTGGCGATTATGTTCATTCAAGTATTCTGTTGTAGAAGGCATCCTGTTACCTCCATAATTCAGCTAGGTAGTTTCAAAGGACAATTGCAAATCAAATATTTTTTGATTTTAGTACATGTGCTGCCGAAGAGAGCACCAAACATTGAGTAACTTTGTGTACCAGACACTTTGTTAGGTATCAGGACTCTAAGAATAATTAATATACAAGTTTCATCCTTAAGGAGCTTACAATTTGTTCACCTTTCTCCAGTTAACTCTAGGATTTTGCTTTCATAATTGCTGAAGATTTCATGGTAATATGAAAGGTTACACTTAACTTGCCATGTAATGCGCATGTGGTATGTGAATATTATCTAATTCCAAGTTTGTTATAACTAAAGTTCTTGACATAGATCCCTTTTCCCTTCCAGAAGTGCAGTTTTTGTTTCAACTATATTTAAATTTAAATGATCTTATCAAATGATATAATATACAAAGAACCCTCCAAGAAATATATATGGAACTTTGTAAGAAATAGTCATCAGGAGTACTGTAGATATTGAGAACTCTCCAGGGTATTAATGACTTCTTGGTCTTATTGTGATTCACTATACCATGGCTGCTTCTCAACTTGACTTCATTTGATCTTTTTATCAAACAGACCATTGTTACTAAGAATCTACATTACAAAGACGGGTTTGATCTTAACAAGGGTGTTGAAGCAAAGATACACACGCTTCTCTCAACACATTGCACAAATGGATCAGAAGTTCAGAGTTCATGGTCAGAAGCTACTTATTGGAAACCAGAACAAGGTTAAAAAAAAGAGCTCCTTTTTCACATTTAATATCACCCTAACAATCAATGTAGGGAATAATTTCCTTAACTCATGTGTACCAGATTGTATATACAATAGACACTAAGACAGTGTGACACAGATGGAATTCTTTTTAATAGTGAATGGCTGACCTTTTTGAATTTTTTAGATCAGCAAACATATTTGCTAAAACTTACATGTTACTATAATTATATAGTTCCTAGTTTGGGGATCATATTAACAAGCTTGTATGAGTATTTACCCAACTCCTCAGAGAATCCAAAAATAATTTAATACTTTGGCATAGACTAGTGTCAGTGAATGAACCCTTAAAAATGTTTAGATTTGTACGTCTAAGTGATTTGTACGTGAAGTGATTTTCAATGACTTTCTTCTGAAATATTCATTATGTTGATTGCTAAATGAAGTGACAAGGCCAAAAGAAATAATATAAAATTGTATAGTAATTTCACAGATGATTCATCATCATGCCCTTCATGGATTCACTATTCATTCATTTCTTAGGAAGTCTGGAAACTAAAATTCAGGATATGGATTGTGTGTATTACAACTGGCAATATTTACTCTGTTCTTGGAAACCTGGCATAGATATACGCTTTGATACCAATTACAACTTGTTCTACTGGTAAGCATTTATATTCTTAGAATTCCATATGAGGAAAATATCTACCCAAATCAATCCACAGTGTGAATAACTGTATTCCCACTAAATTAAATTCACTATATTCATCAGAGGTGTATTTGTGATGGCGATTATAATTATTTGGGGTTTCCAATGAGAGTAAATGGGTTTAGGGAGCAGATATGAGTGATTTAAGGAATACAATCTCTGTTTCTGTATTGAATAACATTTGGTATCCTTTAGATATATGGAATTATAAGAAGTGTAGGCATAGTTTTGTTCTTGCCTTTTAACAGTTATCTTTTGTTCCAGTCTGGTGCCACACACCTATAATCCCAGCATTGAGGAGGTTAAGGCAGGAGGATCTCTGTGAGTTCAAGGCCAGCCTGAGTTACATAGTGAGTTCAAGGCCAGCCTGGACTACATAGTAAGACCTTGTCTCAAACTCTCTCACACACACACAAAAAAAGACTACCTATTAAACTAGTTTTTTTTTTTTCTGACTTCCTTCATTTGTTAACCCTCACAGTGGCTTGTAAGTTTAGAGTCATCTTGACTTCTAATTCCTTCATTCCTTAATTGTTTCATGATGACATAATCACAGTGTTCTGACACTCCTTTGTAAAATGGCACATCTGTGTTTTCTTTCCCATTTTTATTATAAGAATCCTGTAGGCTGCCCTTGTTCTATACCTAGATGATTGCCATAACCTGGCAGATGGTGCTTGCTCAGCTTCCAGTCTCTCTCCTTCCTATTCATTCTGCAATATTAGTCAGCTTTATCTTTCTAAGTTGCTGTTTTCATATGCTGTCTTCTCATTCAAAAGTCTCCATTGACTACATATCCCTCCAACCCCACTACCCAGGAAAAAATCTAGGTTGCTACTCAAGTCTGTATTTCACTCCATAACTGTCTTTTCACCATTACCATCTACTGTCCCAATATGAGTGTTCCATGGCATTTAGATGCACCTCTGCATATTTTCCTCACCCACATCATGATCTTTTATGTCTTTGTGTACATCACCATGTAGAATGTCCTTCCTCTTCTCTCTCTCTCTCTCTCTCTCTCTCTCTCTCTCTCTCTCTCTCTCTCCAATTCCTAACCTTCCTTCCAGGCCTGTCTGCTATCTCATTTCATTGACCCTTTATTGACCACGTCAGGTTTTATTCAGTTTCTCTCTGAACTATTACTTTTTATAACTCTTAGTTATTTACCACTTGGATGGTATTTAAATGTATGTGTGTGTGCTTTGTCTCGTCAAATTTATAAGAGGTTGGCAGGCATGAACTGTGTCTTATACCTGTGTTTACTACCTTGAGTGCTATGCTCATGTTAGATTTTCACTAAATGTAAAATAAGTAAATGAAACAAATGAAGATAACATTGGTAAATTGATAGGTAAATATCAGAATTTAGGCATTTACTAAATAAAACAAATATCAACAGAAGGCAAAGTGTTACTTATTCCTTAGCTTTCAAGCCCAAATTATCACATCATCTTTCTTCAGAAAATCATAATATGTAAGTGACTAAGTATAAATTATTAGTAATCCTAAGAATTGGGCTCTAATTCCTACCCTAACATTATTTAATTTAGTGTTCTTGGTCAAGTAACCTCCATTTTTAGGCTCTCAGTTTCCTTATCTGGAATTGGATAGGTAACTTCCAAAGATCCCAATTGTTTGTTCATTAATTCAACAAACATTAAGCAAATATTAAATGCCCAGTACTTTTTCAGATAAAAAAACCCAAAAGTGTGAATAGGACAAAGCATCTTCCCTCTTGCACATTGTAGTTCATGCTTGACGTGACTATCTTTACTTAGTTAACTAGGGAGAAATGAATATTAACATTTTAGAAACTGGGGAAAAACGGGTATGCTGGGGTTTTCCCACTGATAGGAAACTGTAAAGTCAAGCCTAGAACTCAAGTCTTCCAAACTCTGATGAGGTGAACTAACCAGGAGACTACAATTTTGCAAATTTGGCCAGAAGTAAATACTTGGGATGAAGTTAATTTAGTAAAGTCTACATATTTTTACCAGCACCTTATCAGCTTCTATATTTGCCTCATTTTAAAAGGGATTTTGTCTAGTTTTAAAGTGAATGTCACATTTTGCATTGTAAGCCATCTTTTCGGAAAATAAACCAAACATCTATTTGCTTTGGAAGTCAGTAATGTGCCCCTCACCCCTAACTCCCACTATTCATATTACTGAAATGAGGTTAACTTTATTTATTTATTTATTTATTTTTTTAAATTTTCGGAACCAGGGATTGAACTCGGGACCTTGTGCTTGCAAGGCAGGTGCACTGCCACTGAGCTAAATCCAGGGCCCAAGGCTAACTTTAAATATAGGCTAACATTTCTTGCTTAGGAGAATGGAAAATAAGACATTTACTTGCCAAACAACTTCCTGTCCCTTCCCAGTAATTGCCTTTTCTGCGATTTATATCTTGATGTATTTTATATTCTCAGAAGGTTTTCATTCCATTTATTAAGCAAAACAACATTTCTAGGTCTGCTTTTAAGTATACTTTTAAAAAATAGTTTTCCCAGTAAAATATTTAAAATACAGTATCACACATGTTCATTTATATAAACCCTGGGTTTTCTTAGTAGGAAATTTATTGTTTGTTTCACAGACCATTTTGTGAATCGCTATAACCTAAGTATGTAAATAAGAATCCTTATTGTATCTTTGAGGTTTTGTGAAGCCTCCCATCATACTGTGAGCTCTGTGAAATAGACCAAGTTGTCTTTCCATAGTGTTGTATCCTTAGTAGTTATAGCACGTAGCACATACTAGAAGCTCAACAAATGTTCTATGTTATTAAATGATTTTTTTATTTGGAAAGTATCATAACATAACTAAAATGGAGCATTGGTATACTAGAAGTTACTGTTAAACACAATTCTTACATTATTTCTTTTTACAGGTATGAGGGTTTGGATAATGTATTACAGTGTGTCGATTACATCAAGGAAAATGGAAAAAATATTGGATGCAAGTTTCCAAACTTGGAGTCATCAGACTATAAAGATTTTTTTATCTGTGTTAATGGATCATCAGAATCCAAGCCTGTCAGATCCAACTATTTCATTTTTCAGCTTCAAAATATAGGTGATATAAACAAGCAACTTCAACTTCAGAGTCATAATTGGTGGGGCTTAAAGAAGTGCAAAGCTAGAAAAATAAAGGCAGAGTATACAGGGAAGTATGGAAGACAAACTGCATGATGTATAAAAATATCATTTTCAAGCCGGTTGTGGTGGCACACACCTGTAATCCCAGCACTCGGGAGGCTGAGGCAGGAGAATCACTGTGAGTTCGAGACTAGCCTGGGCTACATAGTGAGTTCCAGGTCAGTCTCAACTACATAGTGAGATCCTGTCTCAAAACAACAACAAAATATATATATCATTTTCATTTAGAAATCACAATTTATTTCCCAAGCCTCAGAGGGTTCTTCTGCTGTATGGTACTTCTGTGTAGAGTTAGCGAGAGAATAATTACTCATTGTCAGGCCTCAATAGCCAAATTGTTGGATATTTTCAGGTCCTTCCTCTTAGTTTTAACAGTTACAACTGAGACGGTTTCTAGAGTCATCCAGTTCTAAGTTGGAATCCTGGATCTATCATTGTCCAGTTGAATGACTTTGGGCAAGTTGCTTACCATCTCTTCTCAGTTTCCTTTTCATAAAATTAAGTGAATAGAGGACAGTCTCATAGATTTATTGTGAAACACTAAAAAGATTATGAAATGAGATCCTTGGGGTAGTGCCTGATACATCTAAACAACAAAAGGGTTAGCTATTAGTAAAAGTAGGAGTACTGATAGTGGTTGTTGTTTCTAAAACTACAAAATAGGAAAATGATTGCAATTATTTGGATCTTCTAACTTTGCTCTTGAGCTTCAATATTTGTCATTGTTTGACATCATAAAACAAGTTTCCGAAATAATCAACTTTCTCAGTAAACTTGCCTTGGTTGGTAAGCAACTTTGATGTCAATACACATCATGGGGAATAATCTTGAGCCATTTGGTTTATCTCTGGGAGTTTTAGTTACTAGGTGTTCACAGCTTTAGAAAAGGGCTACTGAAAATTTCAACTAGTTTCATGTTAAAATTGTTTCTGTTTGCTTCTTAGTTAAACCCCTACCTCCAGACTGTCTTAGTCTTACTGTGAAGAATTCATCTGACATTAACCTGAAATGGAGCATACCTAAAGGACCTATTCCATCAAGGTGTTTTATTTATGAAATTCTGTTCACAGAAGCTAATAATTCCTGGACGGTATGAATATTGCACTTGTTTGGGAAAAACATAAGCACAGCCTTTTAAAATAGGAAACTTGAGAATCAAGATCAGCTGTTGTCTACATGAGGAATGCAACATTGCATGTGTCTTAATAGCTTAATATCCAGAAAGCCAGATCTAGTGGACAAAAGTAAGGTGTCTCTAATCTGAAAGTACACTCATACCAATTTTAAAGCTACATAGGATCCTGGAGATAATCTAGTCACTTGTTTCCCATTTTGTGTCAAAAATTAAACTTGACAAGGGACAAAAATAGATTGTGAAGAGGCCTCAGTTGCTGGGCATGGTGGCATAAACCTGCAGTCCCAGAGCTCTGGAAGCTGAGGCAGGAGGATTACAAGGTTGAGCCCAACTTGGAAAATTTAGTGACTTGATATTCTGCCTGAAAATTAAAAAAAAAAAAAGAGAGATGAGGAGACAGATCAGTATGGGGGCTCTGAGTTCAATTTCTAGAAGGAGGAAAAAAGAGAGAGGGAGGGAGGGAGAGAGAGAGAGAGAGAGAGAGAGAGAGAGAGAGAGAGAGAGAGAGAACCTGCCCTAGGGTTAAAAAAACCAAGAAACATAAACAAAAAAACCACTTCCTAAGGAACAACCATGAGATGAAATGACAATTACAAGAGAATTACTCTTAACCAGGGAAGATGGGTTTATAACAGGGGAAGAAGGCAATGGTTATAAGACTAATTACCCTAACATCAACAGTGTGGTGATATCTTTAAACAACATTTTATGTTGTTTGTTTATTAATTTCCAAGTCAGAGAGTGAAAGAGACAACTAGTCGAGCCACTGGTTCTAATTCACTCATTTCATAGCAAATGAAAGAACTGGTTTTTTAAATTGAGTTACAGGTTGCAGTGAGATTAACTTCATAATTGTATTAAACGTCTAAAACTAGAATCAAGGCCAGGGATTTAACTCAGCAGTTCCACTGCCTGCCTTGCAAGCGCAAGAACCTGAGTTCGATCCCTGGAACAACAACAACAAAAAAAAACCAAAAAAACAAAACAAAAAAAACCAACTAGAATCAAGATCTGACACTACATTATGGTGGTTCCAACATAAGTTATAACAAACACAAAGCTGTCATTTTAGATGAGAAAAACCCTTTAGCTCTTTGAAACAAACAAAAAATTAAAGTAATTGCTTCAGTTAATTTTTGATGTTGTTCTGTGAGATCACTCAGATTTTTTACATTCTTACACCTAAAGTGGTAATCTCGTGTCAATCTATGAGCACTGTTGTACAAGTCTTACAGAGATTACCAAATTAAAACAGTGGGGAAAAGAGCTTCATGTACATGAATTCTACAGTTTCCATAGAAACAACATTCACACAATGGTTCTGTCTTTCTGTATCTCAGTGCATGTAGCATCTTCCAGTTTGTGAAATCTAGAAAATTTGACTAGTTCAATATTAGGCATTATAGTCATGAAGGTTACCTAGGAATTTTACCTGGTCATACATGCTGCTCTTCATTACAAATAACCCATTATTATTTTTTAAATATACAGAAGAAAAAAATGATCAAATACCCCTTCAAAAATCAAAAAAATCAAACATACACTATATGGATAGGTAACCCTCTGCTGGAATTATACACTTCCAGTCTTCTGGTACATGTATTTTATGTGGAAATAAACCATTCTGAAAATGACAAATAGAATTTTTCTAGTAGCAATTAGATCAAATAATGGCATCTTATTTTTTCCTTGGCTTTCAGACTAATACAATTGAAAATGAAGTGTACATCACAAGAATGATAAATGAAAGCCAAGAATTTTGCTTTTCAGTAAGAAGCAAAGTGAACTTTTATTGCTCAGATGATGGGATTTGGAGTGAGTGGAGTGATGAACAATGCTGGGAAGGTATGAGCTAAAAGGCAGTCACTAAGTGACTAGAACTATTTGCTAGCAAAATTAGTTATCTATTTATTTTTGTAATCATGGAGATCAAAGGCTCTTGCATATCATCTATACACGCAGAAGAAAAGTTTGCAAACACCTCAGTCAAACACAGATTCAGTGAAAGTCTAATATTCATTTAGAAGTAAGAATTGTGTTGGAATTAGGAAAATTCTTGGTTTCCTGTCACTAAAGAGAACATGTTAGTACTTTAGCTGGGGGGGGTGAGGTAGAGCAGGAAAATATTTTAATCAGTATTTTCTTAATTTTTCAGTTTTTGAGAAAACAAAAGGATAAGATTGTCATATGCATGTCTCCCAATGTCTAGTATTATGTCGAATGAATATTATTCTAATTAAGAAGAATATTCATGATGGGCTGTGGATATTCCTCAGAAGTAGAGCACTTGCTTTCTATGCATGAGCCCCTGCATTTGACTCCTGGCACTGCAAAATCATAAAAGATGTTATGATTAGGGAAATACATATCACATTCACTTCCAACACCGATTTAAAATGACTTATGATAAAAGACATCCAAATTACATAGCAGTATAAACTAAAAGGCCTAAATAGTGAAGCAAAATAGGATTGTGCTTCAGATTATATTAGTTTATTGGTTAAAATTACTAAAAATGATTCAAAATTGAAGAAAATCAGCTGAGCATTGTTCTTTCAGGTATAGTGATATGGATGTAGTTATTAATATATTCAGATGTAGATAGTTTTCTGTGAATCATTCATCTTTTTTGTGGTTCTACTGTAGTGGAGTCTTTAGTATCTCCCTGTGAATATGGTATCATTGTTCCTTTTCATTCATCAAATATTATTAAGCACCTGTTGTGTATTAGATTCTTTTTAAACATTGGCCATACAGAGAAAAGAAATCTTTATCCACATGGAGCTCATGTTTTATTCTTAAGGTGAGTAGAGATAGATGATCAACCAAAACCTAAATATATATTCACTAAGGGTTATGGAGAAAAAATAAGAAGGACAGGAGATAACTCAGTCAAGTGACATATGGAATCATTTTTCATTTTTATCATCACTACTAGAAATGTGGAGACATATGCAAAGTTATGTGCTGAATTATATCTTGTGCACTGCATAAAGTTAATACGGTAAGTTTTTAACATCCTTAAAATAGATGTCTTTTTTATGTGTTTTATGCACAGTCTTATCTGTGGAATTGATAACTGAGTTTTCTTTCATCCTGTTGGAGAAATCTTTTGGTAGAATCTTAATGACTTTGAAAAACTAAGAACAAAGAATTTCTTGAGTTGTATAAGGTCTTAGCTTTTTAGAACATTTCTTGTTGGATGATTCAAATTGCAGAAAAATAAAGTTGTTTAGTTTTGTGGTAATGGAGATTGAATAAAGGGCTAAGTTGCTAAACTGCTCAGGGTGGACTTGAACTAGTGATCCTCCTATCTCAGCCTTCCAGAGTGCTAGGATTACAGGCATGCCCCAAAGCACCTGGTTAAGAAAATGTAATTTTTTTTAATAAAAATATATCCATGTCAAGAAAAGCAAGTAGAACCTCAGCAAAGGAGCTTCCTGCCATACCATTGCTGATTTTGCATGTCAGGAAATTTACATTATCAGTCATTTCTCTGGATTATATACTTGAAAATTCTAAACTAAGCATATTAATTTTGATAATTTTCTAGTAGAAAATAAGATTGTAACAGAATAGGACAAAGAGAAAGTTGGCATCAGGGGGAGTTAGTAGGTGTGGGCCTAATTTTAATATGCTTTATGTTATTCCAAAACAAGTAGAAGGTATTTATTTGAGAAGGCTAATTTCATGTGCTTTTAAAGTTTGCCTAGTGATTGTTCATTCCTTGCTAGGCAGAAGAACTTTTAAAAACTTTAAAATAATGAAACAGAAAAAGAAAATCTTGTCCCTTTCTTTAGTCTCTAAAGTGTAAGACAATCCTTGCGTAGTGGCTCCTTCCTGCAGTCCTAGCTACTCCAGAGCCTGAGTTGAAGGGGGTCAGTTGCTTAGGTACCAGCCTGGGTACTGTAGCCAGCACTCTTATGAAAACCAAGAATGATCTTGAAAGGCTAGCTCCAAAAGCAGAGGCAGCAGAAAAGAGGGCAGTATCTGTTGCACGGTGGCCAGGTGTGGACCGCAGAGCAGTGAGCAGCATATGCAGCTGCCCCAAAAAGATAGTATCAAGGTTTAGCAGGACCACCGTTCAGATTCACTTCTTGCAGAACATAAGTTACTAAGAAAAGTTATAAAGCCGGGGATTTAGCTCAGTGGTGTCACCGCATGACTCCCAAGCATAAGGTCCTAAATTCAATCCTCGGTACCAAAAAAAATAAAATAAAAGAACAGTTATAAACATAGCCAAGATAGCTAAAATAAGGACCACTACAGCTGAGCTGGTGGCACATGCCTATAATCTTAGCATTCTGGGGGGCCAACAGAGGAGGATCACAAGTTTGATCATAGTCTGCACAACCTAGAGACTTTGTGAGACCCTACATCAAAATTTAAAAGGAAGGGCTGAGGATTTAGCTCAGTGGTGCCACACCTGCCTTGCAAGCACAAGGTCCTGAGTTTGATCCCCAGTACTGGAAAAATAAGTTTAAAAGGACTGGAGACGTAGCTCAGAGGGCAAGCCTTGGTTCAATCCCCAGTGTGTATGCAGCAGTGTGGATGGAGGATATTAGAGGGGTAACAGTCTTTGAAAGTTAGCATTTCAAGGATCTGAAAGAACAGTTTCTGAACAAGTGAAAAATAAATTTAATGAAGATAAACCCAGACAAATCAAGATGGAAGAGACTCTGTATAAGGGTCCCCCAAAATATACACACTATCTTCTACAAAGGAGATACAGTCAACTTCACCCCAAAAGAAAATGTTGTTCACTGCTGGTATACAAAACTCCTATAAGACGGGACTGTTTTTAATAATTTCTAAACAAAAGTTCAAAGAAGAAAAATAATCACGGCTTCAAGTTTTAAGGTGGGAGGAGACAAAGTTATCACAAGATAGAATGAAGCACCCTTAACTATGGATGAAGGAGAAAAGGCTCAACTGGCGAGTGAACCAGAATGGGCTTACAGATAGAAAGGACAGCCCAATGCCAAAACTTCACCAAATGCAAAAACTCATTCTTGAAGTGGAATTGTGGATATTGATGGAATAGATGTGCTTCAGATCTAAAGACATCACTAATAATGATGAAACTTGGCCTTCAAATTTATGTTACTAGTCAGTTTATTACTTTTGTAAGAGGAGGGTTGATTGGAAGATTCAAGGAGTTAAAGCTTGCTTACTTGATCCTGACTTTTGAGAAATGTAATAAATCCCTGAAGTCTAAAATATGTTATTATAGCTGTGTAAAATATGGTTAAGGAGAACTGTTTTTTGTTTTACTTCACATTGTAAACTGAAAGGCTAATAAAATTTTATGCACTCTGAAAAAGAAGACTAACTCCATTACTCACATACATTTTAATTGAAGGGCAGCTCTTGCTCACTATAGCATCAGATGATATAAAGTACACATTTAACATACAATTGAAAGTTGTGGTGGTACACGCCATACCTGTATTCCCATCACTCCAGGAGGATGAAGCAGGAGGATTCCAAGTTCAAGCCCAGCATGGGCAACTTAGTGACTTAGTGAGACCCTCTCTCAAAATAAAAAAGGACTAGGGATATAGTTCAGAATGAAAACCCTGGTTCCATCCCCACTAGTGAAGGAAAGAAAAAAAAAAGAAAGAAAGAAAGAAAAAAAAAGAAGGAAAAGGATACAGGACATGTTTGTTTAACCATTCGTCTAACATTTAATTATTTTTAAATGAAAAATCCAAGAGGTCAAATTTTAAACTGATCCACATCAGGAAATATTTAATAAATATGCTTTGAGGAATTATTTTGTCAGTAAAATCAAGAGATGTCACAGTTCAATAAATTAGTTGTTCTGTATTAAAAGGCATGCAAATGAAAGGAATGCTTTACTCAGACACAGCTATGGTAGCTATGCACTGGCAAATATAGTGGGATTTACCAGGTCTAACTCAGCTCTTCACCATTTACTAGGGGTTTATTTGTAAAACAGTTATTTCAAAAATAGTTATAAACTTCTAATGCATCCTCTTTTTGTGATTTTTGATCCTAGGTGATGGACGGAAGGGAACTTTGATGTTTTTCATGATACCATTTGGTCTTGTCTCATTATTTGTTTTGTTACTAACTTGTCTACTTTTGCATAAGCAAAAAGCTTTACTGAAATCAGTAAGTTATATAATATTATAATATTTGGTCTGAGATAATAGATAACAAGAAAAGTTGTGCATTTAGATCCAATGGGCCTACATTTTATAATTTTATCTGCTCCCTTAGAGTATATAATTGATGCTGTATGGATTATGATGATGTCTTCAGAGAATGCAGTAATTAGAAAAGGACTCTATAGGGCGGGGGAATTTAGCTCAGTGTTTCCGTCGCCTGCCTTGCAAGCTCAAGGACCCGAGATTGATCCCCAGTACCAGAAAAAAGAAAGAGAAGGACTTTACAAGGCTACATTGTGGTGTGTGTGGAGGGGTTAACTTTGTCAAAATTGAAGAATAAATCTTTAGATCATGAAACATTATTTACCTCTAGGTTAGAGAACAATATAATGAAAGAGGCACGGAAGAAAGGCAGGACTGGGAGACAGAAGGGGATTGTAAATAGTCATGGAAGAAAATCTATTATCAGTATGTGCCTAAGCACTAGAGTCCATCAAAATAATAAAATGTGGTGCCTGTCCTCAGAGGCCATGTGCTAGTTGGGGAAGACTGAAGTATGGCCTGTGATATTTCTTTAAAAGATTGCTATTTAAGTCGAATACATAATATTACAGAATTTCCTGAAGGTGGGGAGAACACTAAGTGTTGAAAAGCTTTAAGGAGAAGCTGTGATTTGAAGGAAAACATTTTAATACTATGACTTTTCCTGATAGAAATGTTAACATGCATGAAATGCTTCACTTTGCCTGCTGAATGCTTTTTTGCCCATTTCTCTGACTTATTAATCTTCAGTGAAATTATGCTGTTAATAAGGGTTTATTAATAACACTCTTTCTAAATTTCAGATTTTCCATATGAAGAAAGAAGTTTTTTCTCATCAAGAGACACTCTGTTGACTTACCAATTTCCAGCTACATGGCCAAATGTTAAATATCAGTCTTAATAAACTAAAGCTCTCCTAATGTTTAATACATCTCATTGTAAAACATAGTTGTATTTAAATAGGCTTTAGAGCACTCAAACCTTGAGCTAGTAGTAAATTTGCTGAATTCCTCATAAATCTGTGGTGAGATGCTGCAACAGAGAGTTAAGGGGTGGCCCTGAGTTCGTTCAATGATGCATTAATAAGACAATGTGATTTTGCAATCTTCACTAAGCCATGGATATATTGCCAAAGCTTGGAAAATGAGTTTTTTGTTGTTGTTGTTGTTGTTACTGTTGTTGTTTTAAATTGTACTTGGATGAAAGAATTAACCGTAAGACTGTTTGGCATTAAAAGTAACCCAAGGAGTTAATAATTAGGAAATAATAAGTTTTAAATATGTTCAGAGGCCCAAATGTGTGTGTCATATTTCATGAAAGAAAATTAAAGGAGGAGGGGAATGCAGTGATGAAGGATCCCAGCTGAACAATTCAGAAGTCAAAAATACACAAGAAGAGCTTGGGGATTTCCTATTCCATTTGGCAGGCAGTCTTTCCTAATTTCTGATTGTGTGTGTGGGGGGTAGTGGGAATTGGATCCAGGACCTCCCTCATGCTAAATTTCTGGGTTAAATTCCCATCTCTTTTTAAGTTTTATATTTGATATAGGGTCTCAATTAGTTGTCCAGGCTGGGCTTGAACTTGTGACCCTCCTGCTTCATTCAGTCTCCTGAGTCGTTGGAATTACAGACGTGCACCATCATGCCTGGCTTGTTTTATTTTGTTTTGTTTTGCTTTGATTAAGGGATCAAAATGCACAAATCTTTAAAATTAATGTGCATCCAACTTTCAAAGGATGTGGTTACTTAGGTGAGACAACTGCTTTAAACCATGGGTGTCCAACCTTTTGGCTTGCCCGAACTGCATTGAATGAAGAGGAATTGTCTTAGGCTGCATACAAAATATATAAGATAGTAAATATATATAAGGAACAAAGCTTCCTTCCTTTATTTATTTATTTTTTTTGCAGTACTGGCGATTGAACTCAGTACCTTTACACTGAGGTGTATCCCCAGTCATCCCGCCTCCTTTTTTGAGTGAAGTTCTCCCTAAGTTGCTAAGCTCCCGGGGCTGGGCTAGAACCTGCAGTCCTCCTGCTTTAGTCTCTTGGATGCTAGGATTAGAGAGACATGTAGCACTATGCTCAACTTCCTTTATTTCTTACATTTAACTTACTAAATAATTTTACAAAAGAATGCAATAAGCCCAAGTTTAATAATTAAATAAGAAAACTTACATGTCTACTTAATAACAATAAATGCCTGTCTTCACAGTCATGTACTGTTTAGGTAGGTTGAAATGTTTTTCAGTAATCACTGTGTTTGACACTCAATGTTGCATAAGTGCGTGTAAATCACACATGTGCTGATTTGGACTGTGTGTGAGTTAACACTGCCCTGTGCCATACCCTACATAGTGTGTAATTGTTGCCTAGGCAGTCTGTGCCCGAGCACTACACAATCAAGCTATGAAAAATATCACTAAAAATCACATAATGTTAAAGCTTCTGATCTTGTGGGGCTGAATTACTAGCTGCCTAGTGCCACATTCTGCCTATAGGTTAGATGTGTTGATGTAAACTTAGGGAAAATTGGACATAGATTGCAATCAAAAGCCTGGTTTTTGTTTGGACTAATGTTATTCACAATAGAGTAGGCATTACCTGGCAGCTCATTAGAAATTCTCCAGCCAATCCGGGCGTGGTGGCGCACTCCTGTAATCCTAGCACTCAGGAGGCTGAGGCAAGAGGATCCCTGTGAGTTCGAAACCAGCCTGAGCTACATAAGTGAGTTCCAGGTCAGTCTCAACTACATAAGTGAGACCCTGTCTCAAAAAAAACAAAACAAAACAAACAAAAAAAGAAAGAAATTCTCCAGCCAATCTGCATTTTAACATTCTCCAGTGAGTCACTTGCACATTTAATTTGTAAAGTATTGATATACAACAGTATTTTAGAATGAAAACTACCAACATAATTTAGTGAGGAGGTAAGCTTATGGCCAGGGTAAGTATAAATGTGGCTATCATTGCCACTGATCATCTCTAAAAGGGGGAAATAGCTAACACAGAAGTGTAAACCAGAATACCATCCTTTGCAATCACTTGGAATAAATGATAGGATGTACCGTTATTTTCCAAAGTAGATCTGCCCTTGTTCAACATTAAAACTTCCATGATAGTATGGCATAATTACCAATTGTCAAACCAGGGCTTGCTAAAGTTGTTCTTATGTGCTGAGGGATTTGGAGCAGGAAACAAATGTGGAGTAGAGAGGTCATGGTGAGGCAGAGAAATAGCAGGCAACTCCATTTGGGATGTTGAGAGGGTTTTAGAGACTTAGTATTTCAATTCTATGTAGAACATGCATATGAAACCATCCTAATCAAGGGATTTCTGGAATCACTGCCAAAAATCTAGGAATTCGAGCCAGAATTGCCCTAACAAAGTGGCTATGAGAATCGAGTGACACCAAAAATTAAAAAAAGGATCCCTGGAATTCCTGATCTGCTAGCTATGTAAGTTTATTGGCTTTACAATAAAATTCAATGAAATTTTGTGAGTTGATGTTTTTTGCAATATGTTGGCATCTTAAAGTATTGACTTTCTCCAATGTTTGATATCTAGACAAGTGCCCTGAGTCACGGCCTCTCTTACCCATCTGTTTTCAGCTACTTGGGGTTGCCCCAGCCTCTCTCTTGGAACCCTGTCCCATAGGAGCTCCCAGATGCAGCAACTAAGGAATTATATCTGTCAGCCCTTAGAACTCTACTCTAGGGCTTGAGTGAGCAAGGATGGTTTTATGGTTGTGTCCTGTGCAATTACCCATGCATCCCCTGCCCCATGTTTGGAAAGGCCCAAACATGTTTTAATGATCTGTAGTTGTCATCTTGAAATTGTTAATAATTTTTGAGAAAGAGATCCCATATGTGTTTCTTCACTATGCCCTGCTGATTATGTAGCCACTCCTGATAGCTAGCATCAGTTCTGAGTAGTCTATTTAGCCTTTACAATTAAAATGCCAACATCACCATACTTTTTATGTTGATAAATCAGTGATGGGAAACTTACAAATCACTTTGATCATCCATTCTTCCATTCATCTGTCCATCCTTCTCTTCCTCTCCCAGCTTTGTGTTGCAGAAGCTTTAGTCCAAAAAGAAAAATCTGAGTCTCCTTTCCTCTCCCCATCCACTACTTTAGCCAGAAACTACCCTATGCACAGCAGGCCATAAATATTGGGCCCCTAAATACAGCTTGTTTGTAGGGCAGGGGCTCATCCTGGGGAGAAAAGACAAATCAGGACAACCAAGGATCTCTTCCTCATCCATAGTCCTGACAGTGAGAGGTGTCAGGACAAGAGTAATAGATTCTTGTCCCCAGAATTTCTGCCAGTTGGAAGAGTCCAGACTTGCCCTAAGGGGATTGGCTTTGTTTGGACAGAGTGGGAAAGTGCAAGCATAAGAGTCCTATAAAAATGCAGATTTTGCTGGTGAGAAATTAAGAGGAGACTGGTATTCAGTGGTAACAAATGAGATCAAAATGATAGATGTGCTTGAAGTTAAAAGAGAGAGTCTGCCATCTAAGAAAAGCCCCCTTGATGTTAGGAGCAAGGCTCAAAGACAGGACTCAAAGAGTGCTCCTTTGGGGCAGCATTTAATTGGATCGCATTGTTTAACAATTTATGCCCCAGGTCCTTATGGAAAACAATGGAGTAAGCTAATTATCACTGTAGGCTAACAACTTGGTATGATAGCAATGATGGCTGACCAGCTAGAAACTTTAAAGGGAGATCCAAGGGAGATCGTATAAAAGACTGTGAGTGCGTGGGTGAGATGAAGGAGAGTTGTCCCTGACTGCCCAAGGTTGAGCCTCAGAATAGCAACATCATAGGCTAGTGACAGTGAACATATGGTACATGTGCTGGAGAAAGGATTGTTTGTATCATTGAAAGCTCTAAAAGGTTTGCCATCACTCTATAGGCTATGCATGGGGGACTAGAGAGAAGATCAACTAGAAAATAGAGTACTTGAATACCAATAATACACATCAACTAAATCTAACAGCTATTTGTAAAACAATTAATTCAACAGCATTAAGATACACATTCTTTTTAAGAGCCCATGGCAAATTCCCCAGGATATGCAATTTGCTAGCATATGAAATAAGCCTTAATAAATATGAAAACATTGAAATTATATGACTTTTGTTCTATAAAACAACATAATGAACTTGGAAAATAATAAAAATATGAAAATTTAATAGGCGAATATATGGAAATTACTGCAGCCCCAAACAAGGGGATAAAGAAAGGGCCAGGGCTGGAGCTAAAGAAATGCTTAGTAGGAAAATTGTAGCTATAAATTTATATGTTAGAGCCAGGAATTTAGCTCAGTGATTTTGCCTCCTGCCTTGCAAGCGCCAGGTCTGGAGGTACCAGGGATCGAACTCGGGCTCTTGTGCTTGCAAAGCAGGTGGAGGAACCACTGAGCTAAATCACTGGCCTCCAGAAAGTTTATTTAAATAAATTTATATGTTAAAAAAGGAGGGCTGGGGTGTAGTTCTGTGGTAGAGCACTTGTCTTGCATGGACTGCAAAGCACTGCAAAAGTAAAACAAAACAACCCTCCCACACAAAGAAAAACAAAACAAAAGAAACCCAGAAAGATAGCCTAATTTTCCACTTAAGACACTGAAAAATAAAAATAAAAAATCAAATTAAAACTAAAGCAAGTAGAAGATAGTAAATATTAAAGATAAGAGCAAGATACATAAAAAAGAATAGGAAAACAACAAGGATAATCAATAACCCAAAAGTTGGTTATTTAAGAAGGTCAATAAGATCAAAACCTATAGTGAGGTTGAGCAAAAAGAAGGTAAGCCAGAGACTCAGCTCAGTGGTTCTGCCACCTGCCTCACAAGTGCAAGGGCCCCAAGTTTGATCCCCGGTACCAAAAAAAAAAAAAAAAAAAAAAAAAAAAAAAAAAAAAGTGAAAGAGAAGATGAGTGGAGATGGTGAGAGAAGAGGAAAGAAGACTTAAATTACCAAAGTCAGGAGTGGAAAAAGGAGAAACTCCTACAAATCCTGGAGAAATAAGACTATTACAAGGCAGTACTATGCCACAAATTATAAAACTTCACTGAAATGGGCAAATTCCTAGAAAGATACAGATTGCTGGAGTCTTTTCAAGAAGAAATAAAAAATCTGAATAGTAAAGGAAAAAAGAGGTAGTTTTTTTGTTTTGTTTTGGTTTTGGTGCAGTACTGGGGATTGAACTCAGTACCTTCTCACTGAGCTACATCTCCAGCCCTTTTTACTTTTTATTTTGAGACAGGGTCACTGAGCTGCATCTCCAATCCTTTTTATTTTTTGTCTTGAGATAGAGTCTCACTAAGTTGCTAAATTGCCCAGGCTGGGTTCAAACTTGAGATACTCCTGTCTCAGCCTTGCAGAGTGCTGGGATCACAGGTTGGTTCCATTGTGCTTGACTAGAATTCATAATTTTAACCCCTTTTCCTTTTCTCCCCACAGAAAGCCTGAACCCAGATGACTTCATTGCTGAATTTTACTAAATATTTCAAGAAGATTGAATTCTGATTTCATGTTAATTCTCTACAAATCTTCCCAAATGTAGAAAGGGAAGGAATATTTCCTAGCCCACTTTAGAAACCTTTGTGCCAAAGCTAGAGGCCCAGTTATTTTGTAGAATTCCTCTCAATTTTGCTTTGTCCAATATTTCCTCATGATTACTTTCTTTGATATGAGGATCACAATAGTGGCGCTGTATTCAGCTCATTACATTCCCTCAGGTGGCACATGATTTCAGTGTATCCATTATTAATGATGTTCATTTTGATTACTTGATGTAAGTGGTTGCCACAAGCTGCTTCACCATAATGTTACTCTCCCGGCACCTTGTGATTAATAAATATTTTGTACTTCAAGGTATGAAAATATCCTATGCTTCAAAAAATTTAGATTTATTAATTTATGTTTTGACTATTGATTTCTTATTTTATTCAACACATTCCATTCCATTACTATCGCTTATTTTGATGCTCAGATTCTTCCAGATTCTACCAATGGGAGCTTGTGTAGGTTGTAGTGGTTGAGGCCTCTGACTCCTCATGCCAGCCAGCCTCCTCCTTGTGGATTGCCACTTTAATCACTCAGGCATTGACTCTTCTCACCAGGTCATTGTCCATGGGGTGCTCCCCACTGTGCTGGATCTTTGCATCAAGCTGCTTTTCTATACGGATGGCCTTTCAATCTGACATGGGCCCAGGACAGGTTCTAGCATGGACACCATATACCTTGATCATGGTATGATGTCTCTCTCCTTGCTCTTTCCCACCCTCCTCTTCTTTTTGAATTCTGACTGCCCCAACTAGACAACTCTCACAGCAGAAATACTCTATTCACCACACTTCACCTCTCACTGCAGGCCACTGTAGCTCTGTTCATGGATGCCTATCTCCATCTGTCCCACCTATTGCCTGTATGAGGAAGTGCTCAGCCAGAGGAATAAGGAAAAAGGGATGCTTGATTTGAAGTTTGAAGGACAAGTGGGCATTGCTAATTAAAGATAGATGAAAGGCATTTTAGGTAGGGGAATAGTGCACAGGAATTGTGGGTTATGGAATAATTTCCCAAGTTTACATTTTTCTTCCATAATCACATCTCATTATATTGAATTTTCTTTTCTCCCAATTGAAATAACATCATCTACTTTTATCATATACGTATTTAATTCATGTGTGTACCTGAGCATATTTCTGGACTTTCTTCTCTTTCTCATTGAGTTCTAGGTCTAGTCATGTATCAGTACCTCTCTGTTGCATTATGTAGCTGAATAATATACTTTAGTACCCATCGGGGTAGTCTATTCATTTCACATCATTAGTTTTCTTTTCTGGAAATTTCCTTGTTCTTCTTACATGTTTGTTTTTCCACATATATTATAGAAATTTATTCCCTATTTATTCTATTGCTACTTTGTTGTTATCATACTATAACTAAGTGTAGAATAATTTGGAGAACATTTGGTTTATGTACAAGATTGTTTTCCTATCCAAACAAGTGAGTACATTTTCATTTTGTCAAGTCAGATACTAGTTTTTCAGTAGCATTTCAAAGTCGTCTTCAAATAGACATGGTATATTTCTTGTTAAATTTATTCCTAAGTAATTATCTGCTTGGAACTACTGTAAATGACGTCTATCTCCCATTATAAATGTAATTGGCTATTAGTATATAGAAACACGGTTCTATATTTTCCCCAGTCATCTTAGTCAGTTCTCTCAAGTTATATAATAATTTTTCTTAGGTTCTTTAGATATAATCAAATGTCATCAGAAAATAATACTAATAATACCTCCATCATTCTGCTTTATATATATATATATATATCTTTATTATATATATCTATATATCTCTCTATCTATCTATCTATCTATCTATCTATCTATCTATCTATATCTGTTTTTTGTATCAGGGATTGAACTCCTTGTGCTTGCAAGGCAGGTGAGGAGGCAGGTTGCCCCTTCAAAAAATCAACTTCCAAAAATTTTCACAGAGGGAGAACAGTAGCGCAGGAAGAAAAGACAGCAAAAGGATACAAAAAGCTGAGGCCAGGTGGAGCCTTCCTCCTGATGGGAGGAAAGGACTTCCAGGCAACTGCAGTGTGTTTATTTATAGTGGTAGAGATAAGGGCAGTGCAGGGGAAGGTGAAGGGCCTGATCTGTAACAGGAACAGGGAGAGCAGAACGTCATGCTTTGATTGTTTTAATGGAAATGGACAGGAAGGAAGGCACATCTACAGCACAGCGTTCCCAGCATTTTAGAATAGATTTAAAGTTATAAAAAATGCAAATAGCTGGGCCTAGTGGGACATACCTGTAATCCCAACACTCTGCGAGGCTGAGGCAATATTATCAAAAGTTTGAGCCCAGCCTGGATAATTTAGGGAGACCCTATCTTTTTTTTAAAAATGATCACATGGTAAGACTATGTTTGGTTTTGTAAGAAATGCCAAACTGATTTCCAAAGTGGCTGTACCATTTTGCATTCCCATCAATGATGAATGTGTGTTCCTGTTGCTCAACATCCTTACCAGCAATTGATATTGTCAGATTTTTGGGTTTTGACCATTTCGTAAGTATATTGTGGAGTCATATTGTTTCAATCTCATAACTATACTATTAAAAGTTATTGTTTCTATAGTGCTATTGTTTGCAGCATTTACACTGTATTTTATTACCATAATTTCCAAAGGTATCTTATCCTTAATCTTATGCTTAAATAGATTCAGAGCTTACCAGGACTTTTGGTGCTATTTATGCCATCAGTTTTTGATTTGCTAAATTAACCCTTTAATACTTTTCTCATGAAGAACTCATTCTCTGAGATAATCTATGTTTTAAAATAATTGTCTAATTGTAAAACACTGGCTACATTTTCTTTATCTGAACAGGGCTTTCACCACTCATTTAGATATTTCTGTGTAACAGTTTAAGGTCAGCATGGTCTCTCTGGTGTGTGTTCCTGTTTCCTGAGTATCCAAAGTAGACTTCCTGTACCACTGAAATAAGATAATCTTAACCTCCATTATTCCTGGAATATTATGTGTATGTCTGTCTATAGACAGAATATTTTTTAATTTCAAGAAATTTTAATATGTATTTGAATAATATTTTGTTCCAATTTGTTCTTGTTTATTTTTTTGAAAAATGAGTAATGTGTTGTACTTTCTATTCATGTCTTACAAAGTGAGCAGTGTCTATTTTTTTTCTTTTTCATATTTCAGATTACTTTTCTCAAGCTAATCTTCCTTATTCTTTGTTGTGATTTTAATGATGTCTGTTTTTGCTTTTGCTGTTTCCACTATGATCTTAATTTCTATGATAGTTTTATTTTTCACTTCCATGACTTTCCTGAGCTTTTCCAACTCATTTCAAACTTGTCTGTCTTTTCTTTTTGAGTACTTTTGTTTTGTGTTGAATTCTTGTGTTCATGTTTTAAAGCAAGGCATATTTTCCCCATTAAGTCCTTTAAATTCTTAACTGTCTTTGGTTATAGTTTGCTCCTGTTCCACAACAATATACTTTAGCAGGTGCTCTTCATTTGCGTTTGTTTACTTTTTCTCTTGTAGTATATTTACATAAATATTAGTTCCCTTTAAATTCTTCTTTAAAGAAGGTAGTTAATCCCATGTAGACCAGCTATTTGTGGGAATATAGAATAGTGCAGGGCCCGAGAACTCTAAACCATCAGAGTCCTCCTAACTCAGAATGAAAACCTATAAAGTGCAAGATTTTGTGTCAGTCTATGCTCAGCCGTCCTCCAGTGCTCAGCACCATCCTATCATTACTATTGCCTCTCTGTATCAGAGGCGTAGGAATAACATTGCACATCTAGTTGAGATTCTGCTAGTAAGAGGCACTAACATGAAAGGTAAACAAGAAGCCATAATAGTTATAATATTTCTGAGTCCTTTAACCCTAGATGTGTACTCTAAAAATAAAAACAAATGAAAAGGCAAAGCGCTCTTTCTCGCATGCTGCCAGAGGAAGCTGGTTAGGTAAGGTTCAGACCAGCTGTGGGTTGGTGGTTTTGCAGTGGTCACAGCACTGGAACCAGTAATAAAATTTTAACCTTGGAAGAAGGAAGATGTAAATTCTCACATAAATTACTGTCTTAATGCTTTGGCCATCTGTGACCAGTGTTAGTGTTCTCTGCAGTTTCTTATCTGGATAGCCTTATCAACTTCCTGATTTCCAGGCAACTAGTGGTAAACTAAGAGCTAGATATTTATACACTGTTTGGCATATTGTCATCCAGTTTAGAATTTCTTTCTCTTTAACAGGCCAAGATCAGAACACTGATATGCTTTACCACTCAAAGAATTTCTTCCACCAAGTTGCAAATATTTTGTATTATCACCTTTACTTCTTTAGTCTTATTTTCCTACTATTCTTTGATGTTTGTAGAGTTAGAAAGTCTTTATTGCCTGCAGAAGCTGCCTACTCTAGGTTGAGCAGAAGTAAGGTGTAGATGGTTTTACGTTTCAAGGCATGCCGTTGGCCCTGGTGATCTAGTTGTTCTGTTGTCTTTGAATGTGGTCTCTAGCCAGAGATATACTTTCTGCATGTCCTCTCTCACTACTGTCAAAATTTCAGTGCTCAAAGAAATACTAGTTTATATTCATATATTAATTTAACAAACATATAATAAGTACTAAGTAGGAGTTCTGCAGTGATGAGGTTATTTAGATCTTTTATTTATTTGCTTGATTTTCATCCATGTATTTAAACATCTCTTTGATTTTTCAAAGTATATTAAACAACTATATTTCATATTTGTATCTAACAATTCCAGCATGTTCTGCTTGTTCAGTATGTCTGTGTTTGCTATCTCTTTGTGTGCTGAATGACATTGAACCAAACACTTCACTTATTAACTAATCAATGCACATGAAGATAACAGGTGACTGATGGCAGTTTCAAGGATAAATTCATAAGTAGCTCATTCAACTACATAAAAGTAGAGATCAATAGTTGCAATCCATGAATGTTTCTGGATCTTCAAGCAGGGTACTCGATACACACCAAGCTATAGGAATTGCTTGTCTTCAGGGAAACCTAGAGCCAGAGAATTAAGAAATGAGGCAACAACTATCTAGAGACATTGCTAGAAATGTTAAATCTTACCCTTGATCACAGTATAAGGACCAGGGTGTGCAAATCTGAAGTTCACTGTCTCCTATTGCTGTAAAGTCACATACTTCCACCCAATACACTAAGGAATCATTCTATAAAGAAGAGATGTGCTCAATGGCCTAGCATACACAAGGTCTTGTATTCCATCTTTTTTTGTTTGTTTGTTTTTGTTTGGTTGGTGTTTTGTTTG